CCTCTGGTGCAAATTACTGACCTCTGTCATCATTTTAAGTGGGGGAACTTGCACAATCGGTGGCTGACTAAATACTTTTTTGCCCCACTGTATCAGTTTATGAAATGTTTTTGTGTTTGGTGTCCACCAAAACAAGCAATGGAGAAAAAAAAGATGTTTACTTTTACCACCGAGCATTAAATGTGAATACTAAGGGAAAAAAGTATGAGAAACGGCACTTTACTTTCCCAGGCTTTGGGGAGCCAACAATTTGATCCTATCTCAGCTGCATAATCTGCAGATTTAAGCCTTGTATGAGAAGGAGAGAAGACCCAGAACGCTTCCCTGTGGTGCTCCTTTTTCTTGAAAAATGGGAAAGCAGAGGATTGAGTTCTTAGCCACTAGCTGGTCACTCTGTGGTCTGCTGATTAAGAGTCCAAACCAGTCTACACTCTTGTGTTTTTAGGGCCAAATTATAGAGGCTGCTTTGCTCATAAAACTGTGATAATGCTGAAGTATTCTTACACACTGATATTACGTCACAATAGTTCAGACCTTTAGCAGTTCACAGCTTCACTTCACTGAGGATGAGTTGCGAATTAAATGGAAAAACCTTGGGCCAGCAGGTCAGGGGGCAGAGGCATCAATAGAGAGTTTTTGATTATTTCCAGCCAGCCCAATGTTTACTGCACCTCATTCCTCTGCTCCCCACACTTCTCCTTACTAATGAGGGCAACATACCAAAAAAAATAGCATTAAAGAAGAAGGTGAAGGAAAAACTGCAGTAATTGAGCTGCAGGTTACACAATACAGAAAGAAATTTTATATCACAAACCAGTTGAACACTTTCAGTGCTCTTCAATGTCATTATTGGAATTGTGAGTTGAGATTTGAAGCCGTCCTGAGCTTAAAGCACAAAGAAACTTTATGCTGTTTTCACTCAATTTTCCATCTGCTGTGCAGCTCTAACTCCAGGTAAAGATGTTTAAGACCAGTGCTGCTGCAGTTGATCAGCACATGTCCAGGAACACCATCTGCTTCAGCAGCTTTATTTGTGTTCAGCCACCATAAGGTTTTCTTTTGTCTTTGTGGGAGTTTATTAGAAGTGATTGTTCTTTTTTTGTCTGGTGTAAATTCAGTGATGGAGGCTTTTTTTTTCTTCAGCAGAGATGTTTTGTTGGGTTTTTTCTCGCTATATATATTAAAGTGAGGCTTTCTTTACGGCTTATTAAAGACTGTTGCTTTTATGGTTAGACTCATTATTAGATATGCAGCACCAAATGAAATGCTTTTCTCACTTGTAAGTGTGAAGCCTCGCACAGACTCGTGTGTAGACAAATCCCAGTCAGCTCAAAAAGCAAATGGAGTTCAGAGATACAGCATCTCCCTCAGGCCACACTTCTTTCTTTTTCCCCCTGATCTCATGGTTGGTCTTTGGCTTTGGAGGCAGAGGTTAGAGACACACAAACGGATGATTGATTGTAGGAGGTTCGTATTGTTTTTCCCACTCTGGTTAGAAGCATTCTCATAGTGGCGAATTTCAGCATGTTGTTGCGTTTCTTGTTTACACACGTTAGTACTCTCGACTCTCCCTTTAACACACTTGTGCACAGAAGTAAGACAGTGTTCCCGCACTTTGGTGTTAATCTGCCGAGGCCTCGGGATGTGATTGTTCTCTGTTGTGGAGTTCAACACTAGATTTTTCCGTTGTCTTCTCTGTTTGTTGTTAACTTTCTATTATCCTGCTTTTGTGCAGGATTTTAGCTCAAATTAAAACTCCGCTGCATCCTCCCTGTACCCAGATA